TAACAGACAGATACCCCCTACCGAATATAACCGACTTATTAGACAAATTAGGAAAATGTCAATATTTTACTACATTGGACTTGGCCAGCGGATTTCATCAAATACAAATGAATAAGAACGACATACAGAAAACCGCATTCAATACGGAGAATGGTCATTTCGAGTTTCTTCGTATGCCGTTTGGACTGAAGAACGCCCCCGCCACGTTCCAAAGGACCATGGACAGTATATTACGAGGAATCCAGAACGAAAAATGTCTTGTGTACCTCGACGACATTATTATATTTTCCACGTCACTACAAGAGCACTTAGAACGACTCAAATTGGTTTTCCAAAGACTACGTGAAATCAATTTCAAAATTCAATTGGATAAAAGTGAATTCCTCAGACGAGAAGTAGCATATTTAGGCCATATAGTGACACCAGAAGGAGTACGACCAAATCCAGACAAAATCAAAGCCATTAAAAATTACCCAATTTCAAAAACAACAAAACAAATCAAAGGCTTTCTCGGACTACTCGGATATTATAGACGTTTTATAGATAATTTTGCAAAAATCACAAAACCCCTCACGAAATGCTTGAAGAAAGGTGCAAAGATTGAACACAACCAAGAATTTATCGAATGTTTTGAAAATTGCAAAAAATTACTTGTAAATGAACCTATACTACAATACCCAGACTTTTCGAAGACATTTAATCTAACATGTGATGCTAGTAACGTAGCCCTAGGTGCTGTGTTATCACAAGGGCCCATTGGACAAGATTTGCCCATAGCCTACGCATCTCGCACATTGAATGATTCAGAACAAATTTATTCCACTATTGAAAAGGAGTGCCTGTGTCTTATCTGGGCGACGAAGTACTTCCGACCCTACCTTTATGGACAAAAATTCAATATCATAACGGACCATAAGCCCTTGCAATGGCTTTTCAATTATAAAGACCCCACATCGAAAATGGTACGTTGGCGAATCAAACTACAAGAGTTTGATTACCAAATTATTTATAAAAAAGGTAAACTCAATACAAATGCAGACGCCCTAAGCCGTATTGAATTACACACTAAAGAAACCGACAATATATCGAATCTAGTATCATATATTGAAGAATTCAATAAAGAATTAGAGGAAGAAGCTAGAATGGAAAATAATCCAACGACCAGCAAAGAGATTGAGAACCTAGACCAAATATCAACTATGGCGCAACCTGACCTCGAAGCAACAGCTGAAGACGATAACGAAACTATCCATACTAATGCTGAACAAGACCCTATTGTTGGAATTCCAATTAAAGAATCTGTTGTTAACTATGGAGCAAATCAAATAATCGTCACAAAGGTCATGCACTCACCAGCCAAAACAAAAAGACTAATTTTATTTGAAAAGAAGAGAAGATTTTTAGTTCAAATATCAGAAAATGATTTTGAAAATGATACAATTAATTTTATAAAAGAAAACGTTGTGCCAGGTAAATTATACTATGCTTATTTCGAGAACCCAGATACATATGAACCATTCTGCGAAGTGGTTAGGAAAAATTTTAAATGGGCCTCGATTAGAATTAAAAGATGTTTGAAAAAATTAATCGACATAGTAGACAAACAAAGTATACCGAAAATAATACAGAACTACCATGAGAGTAAGACGAACCATCGCGGAATCGAGGAAACCGAAATGCGTATTAAAGAAAAGTATTACTGGCCAAATCTTAAAGAGTCTATTCAATCGTACATAAATGAATGCGAAATATGCCAACGAAGTAAATACGAACGACACCCATTAAACATGGAAATGAATATTACACCCACGGCAACCAAACCATTTGAAACTATTCACCTTGACACATATACATTAGATAAAGTTAAATTTCTCACAATCATTGACAGTTTTTCCAAGTACGCACAAGCTTACGCCCTAAATTCATTGTCAGTCACCGAAATTAGCGATAATTTAATATCGTTCTTTTCACATCACGGTGTTCCATCCAAAATCATTTTAGACAACGGAACTGAATTTAAAAATACAGTGGTCACAGAACTATTACAACTTCATAAAATAAAAATTCATTTTTGCTCGCCCGAGCACCCCCAGTCTAACGGAGTTATCGAGAGGGTACACTCCACTTTATCCGAACACGTAAGAATTCTAAATAATCGTGGCTTCCTGAAGACACCTATCAGCCAAAAAATGAAATATGCAATCCTAGCATATAATCACACCATCCATTCGGTGACTAAATTCAAGCCAATAGATGTTATTTCAAGACACATTAGCCTAAACGATCCATTTGACCTAAAATTAGACCAACTTTTATTGACAGATTATGTCACAGAACATAAAAATAAGTCTAAACTCTTATATTCAACCATCAATGAAAAACTTATAAATCAGAAAGAAAAAATCATAGGAAAGATTAATGAAACTTCCGATAAACCAACATTATTCCACCCAGAACAAAAAATATACATTAAAAAGCATACACGTCAAAAACTAGCCGATAAGTTTACACCTCAGACACAAGTGGAAACCGTTGACCCAGTACGTAAAACAATTGCAACGACCTCCCACGGAAAAGTACACATGGGTAACATTAAACGTCCCTTGAGAAATAAATATAGTTTTGACACCTAGTTTTAAGAATAAAATATTATATTACAATTACTCTAATTAACTATTTTAAATGCATTTTATATCATACGCTTGCTTATTAGCTTTATAACAATAAATATTATATTTCAGTTTCTTTGCCTACGCGTTTGGGACTCAAGAACAAATAATCATCAGAAAACTGGATGACAATCCTGGCATAATTCCAGTCAAATTAGGGAACGCGAAAATCAAAGATTACACCTACACCCTGATACATTATTATGACTTGAACCCAATAATACGTGAAATAAATAAGCTTCACGTAAAATCTAATAATATTACAAACATTCTTAATGGACATCAAGACTATTCTGAAGACATTAGCAATTACATAAATTTGTTGAAAATAACACAGAATAGAATTGATACAAAAATATCAGAGATTATTCCTCAGCCACAAAGAATTAAAAGAGGACTAATTAATGGCTTAGGATCAATATTCAAATCTGTAACTGGAAACCTAGACGCATCTGACGGAGAACGTTACGAGCATATCATTAGGGAATTACAAAACAATCAAAATAGTTTACAAGAAAGTGTTCTGAAAGAAAACTCGCTTTCTCTAACAGTAATCGAAAAATTTAACCAAACCATTAAACAAATAAATCACAACGAAAAACTTTTAGAATCAAAAATTAACCAAATTGCACACATGGTACAGAAGGCAGCACAAGCACATAGAGAAAATTCCCTCTATATCAAAGACATAATAAATCAAATAGTTAATATCTATGAGATAATTGACTCTATTTTACAAGATATAGAAAATTCCTTAACTTTTTCAAAATTGAAAATTATGCATCCAAGCATAATAAAAACTGAAGACCTTTATCATGAATTAAACAAACTTCAACAGCGTTTAAGTTCTGAACAAATGCCCCTAGCGGTTACTTTGGAAAATACTTCACTTTTTGAAAAAATAATTGAACTGGAATCTTTTGTCATTAATAATAGAATAACATACCTAATACATATACCAATAATGTATTCAGAAATTTTTGATTACTTTCATTTATACTCGGTTCCAGTACTTTCTCAGAGTCAGTTTAAGGTTGTCTTACCGCGAAATAAATTCTTGCTGAAAAATAAATTGCACTACACATACTATGGCCAAGAATGTCAAGAAGTCACTCCGAAGTCCCATATTTGTGGAAAAGAAGACATTCACAAAATTCAAGAAGACAGCCCATGCGAAATTAAACTACTCCACTCTGACAAAAATACCTCCACCTGCGAACAAACCAAAGTTGAAGTCCCACAAATTATCATCAATCGATTGGACGATTCCAACCAATGGATATTGGTTGTTCCTGTCAAAGAAGCCATCCAACTCAAATGCTTTCAACAAAAAGAAGTACAAAACATCATTGGAACATTTATGCTCCAAATACCGATTGGTTGCCAAGTGGCCACCGCTTCCAAAATAGTCATCAATGAAAATAGGACAATCAAGACCGATATTCAACCGATACTGTTTCCTGACATACCAAATACACTCGCCATGATGCCGACCCTCAATCTAAGTCGACATCTAAATTATTTGAAATTAGACGACCTTCACCAATTGAGCAAAGAAGTATTGGACATACGCCCACAACTGAGCTTCACCGAAATCAATAGATTGCCCAGCCTTGGGACAATCCTTATATATGTCCTCATCGTTATTGCCTGTATCTTCTTGGTTTACATGAAATATGTAAAAGCTGCCATGAAGAAGAAGAGGTCCACCCCCGTTCCAGAAAAAGACCGGAGTATTCAACTCCCCCGCTAGCGTGAAAGTTGAAGCTAAGAAGGGAGGAGTTATATAACGTCTATTTGCTGAGTCCTCATTTAAAATGCTTATTCTGCTTTTCAGCTTATTATAAATATATGTATTTTCTTAGGATAGTTAGTCAGTTGAAATTTATTATACTTATAACTTTTATTGTAACGTGCTTTCGCTAGTAATAATTTCGAATTGTTAATAAAGTCATTTTTTAAAAACCAACCCTCGGTTGCTGACTTGTTAACTCATTTCTCTCGGAGGTTTTGAAATTATGTTGAAAGTGACCTATACAAAAGTTGTAGATATTTGCATGATCTATAAATTTTGTATTGGGTATTTTTCGGTTTGATGCGTAATTTCGCGGGAAATCGTAATATTACCATTTTCCATTCCTTTTCAATCCCCCAAAACAACCCTTCACTAACCCCCGTGTGGAATTTATCTTTTTTACGTTTATTGTAAGCATTTTGACCATTTCCAACTATAAAAGTTCAGGTAACAATTTTTTTTTCCCCCTTTTAAATGAGTTATTTCGATTGGTCTATTAGGCCTATTGTCATTTATTAGGATTTTTTAAATAGATTGCACAATAAGTTGTTACGCTATAGGTCATAGATCGTAGACAGACAAACTTTTCACACGTTGTTAACCTCGTTCTTCATAAAAATTGTTTGCCGTTCAAATTTTCCAATTTCTCGAATGACTTGATAATGGAGAGCGAGACAAAATTGTCTGTTCAGCGTTTGTTTTGTTCTGATGACGGAGTAGAAAAAAACGACCTTTTTAAAGAACATCGAACAAAATCTCAAGTACGTGGTCCTTAAAGCCGTTTATAAGTCAATAGCAATTGTGTTTTCGTATTGAGATCGTCGAGATCGAATATATTCAGATAAGTCGAGTATAAAAATCAAAATTATTTATTAGTGTTTTTGTAGTAAAATTTGTTATTTTTGTAAGTAAAAATACAATATATTTACTTGTAAAAAACCGTAGAGATATTTTTTTATTGCAAATTATTTTTGCACGTGACGGTAGACCGCTCAGAGTGGAAATGCTTGTTGTCGGACTATAAAAAGGCAGTAAATTTTAATTTTGGCCTCAGCTTGTGCCCGTTCAGCAACCTTTTCAATAAATTACCCTTAATTTTCCCTTTTGCCAGAATCTTTTTCTATTAAAGTGTTTCTAATGTCTCCTGCTTCCAGTTCCTTCTTAATTCGTTGCAATAAAAATTATGCTCTATATATTTCCTATCCTATCCCGAATCAAAACTCCAAACGCAATTTATTAAATCCATTTAAATCATTTCCAGCCGATCAATTTCATCATACAAAATTCTAAGAAGTGATAGTGTAATCTTCGGAGGAACTCATCAGCCGCAGCCAGCACGTCGGAATGTGACGCTAAAAACCGTCCTGCTAGATTTCTCGTCTAATTTAAGGGAAAACGATACGCAGGTCGTGCGGAAAAGTCGCAACAGTGGAAGTAATGACGTTGTCAGTAAGAATATTACAAGCATTTTGGAGAATTTGTTAAAGGATTACGAGAGTTCGCAGTTGCCTAGCCATGGAAAAGGTAAATTTAATGATGTTTCAACTATAAAATCTGTATCCGATACTACATATTACTCAGTTATGATATTTATATATAGGCAGTTTAATTTTTGACGTTTAGGTTTATAATCAACAGGTCCTGAAAGAATAAACGTCGTTGAAGTTATGTCGCTGAAGTTAGCATCAGATTCAGAAATGAAAATCATGTTTTTACAGTCGGCCAAATAAGTAGTGAATATATTGATAATATGAATCTTATTACCAATACCGCTTTTTTGGATCAAGCTTCTTGCAGCGCTTGCAGAATTTGCGTATTAGAAATTAATGAATTTCAGTGGACTGTATTTTTAAAAAGACTCGACTATATTTCTATTTTTCAACTTGTTATCAACAACACCACTCATCGTTATGACAATATTAAACAAAACAATTTCAAAGCTAGAGTACAAAAAGTTTATCTGGTTGCTAATTTGTGATTAATTGAAATGTCAATTTTTGATTGATTAGAAATAAATCTCAACATGGCCCCCAGCTTTGAAAGGAATCTTTCAAATTGAATAATACTAAAAAACTTAAATTAATTACATGGGCTCAATGCCAGTACCGAAACATCAATTGTATCGCTAAACCTAAAATTAATCTATTGGAAGTGGTGCTAATTTTACCACTGCGCGTTTAATAAAACCATTCGCAGTTTTTACGGACGCAACGCGCACAATTCCATCAGTTCCTGGATGAACGTCACAGATGCGCCCAAGATGCCATTTATATGGAGGCAATTCATTGTCCTGAATTAACACCATTTCACCAACCGCAAGGTTTCGCATATTTTGTTTCCATTTTTGTCGCTGTTGCAATTGAGCAACATATTCATTGCACCACCTTTTCCAGAACTGTTGTTTTATTTTTTCTAACTGTTCAAACAAAGATAATCTGTTAGATGGGGTGCTCATAAGGTCAGGGTAAGGAAACGATACACTCGATACAGACGCACGACCTATTAAAAAATGAGATGGCGTAAGAACTGTTAAATCGTTCGGATCAGCAGACATCGGTGTCAAAGGTCTAGAATTTAAAATACACTCTATTTGTGAAATGATGGTATAAAAACTTTCAAATGTAAAAACACCTGGTGAAGATGTCATAAGTAAATGTCCTTTGGCGGACTTTATTCCCGCCTCCCATATACCACCCAGGTGTGGGGAATAAGCCGAAATGAAGTGCCATTTAATGTCAAGATCATTACCAAGTTGTTGAATAATAATACTTTTATTAGATTTTAAAAATTGCCCCAATTCTTTTAACCGATTATTCGCACCTGAAAAATTGCTGCCATTATCAGAATATACATTAAATGGTTTGCCTCGACGTGATATGAACCTTTGAAAGACTTCAAGAAGGATAGCAGTGCTCAAATCCGTCACCAGTTCAAGATGAACCGCTTTTACTGTTAAACAGATAAAAAGACAGAGATAACATTTTTTTGTTTTTGCACCACGGCCCTTCCTATCTTTGTATTGAAATGGACCTGCATAATCCACACCCACGTCTGAAAAAGGGGGTCTCACAGATATTCTGCATTCTGGCAAATTACCCATAATTGGATTAATGAACTTTGGCTTAAAACGGAAGCATATTACACATTGTCGCACAATGCGTTTAGCGACACTTTTTCCCGAAATTGGCCAAAAGTGTTCACGAGTCTTGGACAAAAGTAGTTGAGGACCACAATGATAGTTCTCATTATGTATATTTTTTAGAATAAGGTCTGTTAATTCATGCTTATGAGGCAAAAGAGCAGGATGTTTTTTGTCGAATGAATAACTCGAGTTTTTTAGGCGACCACCTACCCTCATGATGCCATCCTTCAAAAACGGAGTTAAATTATTGAGATGACTTTTGTTGCTAACACTTCCAGACTTGATGAGTTCTTTTAATTCATCAGAGAATGACTCACGCTGAGCTAACATAATTAATTTATGGGAAGCTTCACGTAATTCGTCCAATGTTAATATTTGTTCATTGTCTATTTGATTGTTAGTAGCCTTACAATTTCTCAAAAATCGTAAACAATAAGCCATCACATATTTTGCCCGTTGAAAAGAAGAAAACTTTGAAAAAGGAAATAGCAAATTATTAGAATCTAATTTGCCATGAACCAAAGCGCGTGTATTTTTTCGACATTCTGGCAATTCAGAAATTGGAACTGAATTGTGTAAAGTAATGTCATTTGGCCATTTTGATGAAGATTCATATAACCAATTAAGGCCATGGAACCAGGAATTAGTTTCAAGAAGAGTTTTTGGTGACATGCCCCTCGAAAGAAAGTCTGCTGGATTTTCAGCAGTTGGAACATATCTCCATGCTTCAGAAGGGGCTAACTTCTGAATTTCCGAAACTCGATGTCCAACAAATACTTGGAAGTGATGTGGTGAAGAACGAATCCATGAGAGAGCTACCGTTGAATCACACCAAAAATAAATATTAACATAGTTTAGGGTTAAAGATGATGTAATTTTGGAAAAAAGTTGTGCTAGAAGTAAAGCACCACTCAGTTCCAACCTAGGAATTGTAATAGACTTGATAGGAGCTACACGAGTTTTAGAGGCAAGAAGACGTACATGGACTTTTTTACCAATATCAACTGTGCGTAGACACACAAGCACCGTATGCAGATTGAGAAGCGTCTGAAAATCCGTGTAGTTCAACTCGAACCAGATTTTTGCAAGTTACTTGCCTTGAAATTTGAATTTTGTTAAGTACTGGAAGTTCAGATCTAAAAGAGAGCCACATATTTGCAAGTTCAGAGGGTACATCTTCGTCCCATGATAACTTGAGCAGCCATAATCTTTGCAAGAAGATTTTTGCTCGAATTATATCTGGAGCTAATAAACCGGGAGGGTCAAAGATTCTAGCAATATCTGAAAGAATTACACTTTTGGTTACCCTTTTTGTTGATGGAAGTAAGTCAATATAGAAGGACAACAAATCATCTCGGCCAGACCAAAGCATCCCAAGTATTTTACTCGCCTCTGATGACCCAAAATAGAATTTATCCTCAGATACATTTAATGATTTAATTTGATTTAGAACTATTCGACTTCCACTTTCTTAACTCAAAGCCTGCGCTTGCCAAAATAAAATTGACCTGTTGGCATAAGTCAACAGCTTCTTCGAGGGAATTTGCACCAGATAAAAGATCATCAACGTAGAAATCCCGCTTAATAACATCGGATGCCCGAGGATGAGATGCTTGATGATCGATTGAAAGTTGCAACAAACACCTAGTTGCTAAAAATGGAGCACTAGCTGTTCCATAAACAACAGTATTAAGGGAGAAAGTTTGAAGTTCCTTTTCAGGACTAGACCGCCATAAAATTGATTGAAATGGTTTAAATTCGTCAGCAATAAGAATTTGCCTATACATTTTTCATACATCAGCAGATATTACATATGAATGCTGTCTAAAGCGAAGTAAAATTGATAGCAAATCCTCCTGCACTGTTCGACCTACCATCTGAATTGAATTATATGATTCACCTGAAGAAGACGGATAAGAACTATTGAAAACAACTCGTAATTTAGTAGTGCTTTTATTTTCACGTAGTACACCATGGTGAGGAGAAAAGAATAATGATTGATTTGGTTGGGGTTGAAAAAGAGACATGTGATTAAGTTCTTTGTATTCGGACATAAATTCAACGTACATTCTCTTAAGCTTTGGATTTGACGCCAGTCGTTTTTCCAAATTATAGAATTGTTTAGATGCTCCTTGTTTAGAATCACCTAATGTTGAGAGTGACTTCTTTAATGGAATAGATACAATAAATCGACCTTCGTAATTTCTCTTGAATGTTTGCTAGAAATGTTGTTCAGCTTCTTGCTCTTCATCAGAAAAACTAACTTCGGATGATATTTCCTCGAGTTCTCAAAACTTGGATAATTGAAATTGAATGTCTTTGGAAATATGACAGGTAGTGGTTTGTTGTAAAGTTGATCCGCAAGGTCCTGAAATGTACCATCCAAATTTGCTGTTCTGCAAAAATGGCTTATCTGAACCTAAAGACTTCGTACCTTTACACAATAATTGCCAAAAAATACCTGCACCAATCAAAATGTCAATTTTACTCGATTCGTAAAATTTTGGATCAGCAAGCTGAATATACGAAGGAATTTCAAGAAATTTATGATCCAATGATATAGTAGGAAGATTATCAGTAATGCAAGGTAAAACTAAACACTTGAGACTTGTATTGTAACTGGAACATAAAGATTTAATGAAAATTTGACATGAATTTGAAGCATGAGCTTGGGCCTCATTAATACCACTAACGCAAATGTTAACTGAATCTTGTGGCAATTTTAACTTCTTAACTGTACTTGCACTTATAAAACTTGACATAGAACCACTATCCAAAAGAGCACGACAAACATGAAACCGACCAGAAGAATCTTTAACTTCTACCAATGCAGTGGCCAGCAAGATTTGATAAGATGCATTACATGTTGTGGTTTGAATTTCCTTAGCTTTTTGTATATTTTGCTGATCCAAGATCTGCTCTGAAACCGAACTTTGATCTTGATCAGCCATTGAAACGTTAGCAGCAGTTTTTTCTTGAAATGAATGCAATAACGAATTGTGCCTTTCATTGCAATGTTTGCAACTACCTCGCCTACATTGATTAACATCATGACCTTTTTGCAAGCAATTGACACAAAGTTTTAGTAATTTTATTTTTTCCTTTTTAATTTTTAAGGGAAGTGCAATAAAATCATCACATTTGAAAATAGAGTGTTGTTTGCCACAAAAGAAACAACTAAATTTGTGTTTTTGATCAGCAATTTCGGTATTAAAACATTTTTCTTTGATTTTATAAGGTACTGAATTTTTAGATCTGTGCATAGTTACTTTATCCAAAAAGTCAGCTCGCGATATCAAAAATGTTTTAAACTCAGAAATGGTTGGAAGTTCCTCATTTAATTTATATTGTTCCCAATTGCGAATTGTATCTAAATCTAGCT